TTCGCTGTTTTTTGTCTCTTCGGGCTGATCCGTGTCGATCAAAATAAACAATTCTATTGGCTTTAGGTCACGTGATGAACACGGCTTTAGACGACCCCCTTATTTGGGACGGTCCTACCTGTATCCCAGGATCCTATAATTCGATTTCAACTATTTTGGGCTTATTAGAATCGTCTCGTCAAAACACTAATTTTGGTGGTAAAATCACCAAAAACAGATTAGTGTACAAAAGTTATTCACCATCAAATATTTTACCATTTTTAATAGTAATGACGCAGATCTGCCCATATATTTTACCATTTTAATAGTAATGACACAGTCCGGAATAAAATCGAACAATATAGAACATACCAACATAATAGAGTGTCCAGGGTTCTGCGATGGCAGAATCTGCGCAGAATTTGTACATAATTCTGCGAGCGGAATAAAAATTATTAGTGAATATAGTCTATTGTGATCAAATTAGAATTTTCTTTTTTTGTTGTAATTTTGTTTTTTAATGTATTATTTATACGTTACCGCAGAATTTGCTAATTTTAACGATAATTGCAGCAGACCAAAAATGACTCACCGAAATGGCAAAATGCCCGGACAATCTATTATAATACCTATATATAGACTTGATTATTTAGTTAATGAAATACCCCAATACGGCATGCACAAAGGGGGGGCATGCCCTCACCCTAAATCGCTATACATTTTTCCAAGTTGGCTACGAGTCGTAGCCAACTTGGTGGCTTAGCTGCATAGAAATCGAATGAATCACGTAAACACCGAAAAATTCGCGTGTACGTGATTGCACAAAGACTGCGTCTTGAGACTTTCGGTGTGTACGTTAATTTTATTTTCACGTCAACGTTATATTTTAAAATGTATATAAGAACCATGAATTCAATAAACGAAAGGACAGTTCCTAGTCCACTTTCAATTACCACTAAATAATAAAGTATATACTTATCTGAATTTTTCTGTGAGACTTTGTCTTTGAATTCGACTTGTAATTTTAATAAACCCTTTCGAGATTCAATTCGACGGACTGAATTGACTTGTAACTTCGATTTTGCTTATTAAGACTCGAATTCTGGTATACTCGTGGAATCAAATATTACCATTCACATTAGTGACTTGCGGGAATTGTGGTAGAGAACGATACTTACGACTAGTTATTCGACCCTGTAATCCATCACAGTCCTTAAGACCACCACTTTATTATTACCCTTAACAGCATCACCTGTAGTTGCATCACCTCATTATCACCACTATTAATATTAAAGTATTCGTTCCATAGTGACTTATTGTCTCAATAGACCTCCAACAATTATAAAATACCCTCTTTGCTTCTCAAGTCTATCTTATCTCCCTGTATACCGTTGGAGTTAAATTAGCCTTTCATCTATAATATTTTCTTAAGCTCTCCCATCAACGGTTACAATATGAAAGTTTTATAAATGTTCGGACATTAACAGAGTTCGTTTACTTGTATTGCCCCAACGATAGTAACATTATATATAGCTTTAAAAACTGATCGCTACATAATTCATTTGACTTACCAATCAAAACTACATACAATGGATTCTAAGAATTATGAGAATGTTGATCAAATCTTGATAAAAAGAAAATGGTCATTAGCTTTCAATTTATTACTTAAAGAATCAACAAACCAAAAGTTATTTGAATATTTATCAAGTGATGCAAACTACATTGTTGCATATTTTATCGAAAACTTGAAGGATTATGATGATTTATATTTAATAGAGAATGTGGATGAAAAAAAAGCGAACAAAGTATGGAATGAAGCTATCAATTTATTAACTGAAAGACCATTTTCAACAACCATGCAAGTATTTGAATTTATGATCCAAGCTATATATAAGGATGATTTGCACAATATAAATGAGATTATCTATTTACTCAGTCGAATACAGGATGCTGAAGATAAGCTGCTAGCTGAAATGCGTCATATATATAAATCAGATTCTGCATGGAATTGGATTGCTGAAGAGTTTTCCAAAGAAACATTCTCAAATGATCAAGAAATATTGAATTTTTTTAACCAATTCACATTCAGAATAATTGATTTTGGTCCAGTCTTTCTTGCTAGACTTCAGATTATATTTACTATATGTTTAAAAAAACAAATAATAAATGTTGCAGCAATCAAAATTTTAAACTTTCCGATTTTTAGTGATAATCTTGATATGATAAAAATTGATTTCATATGGAACATTGTTTGCAAAATATTTTCTAAAATATCTGTCTCATCAGTTAACCAAGTTTCAGAATTTCTCAACAAATTTGCAAATGGAATCGTCAATCTCAATGAAGCTGAAAATTTCTTTTTTCGAGCACGCCTTAAAATTGCTATCATTTTATCTACAAATAATCAATTAATCTCACCTCAGCAAGCAAAACTATTTTTAAGTCTGCATATTTATAACGATAAATTATTAAAAGAAGAAAAAATATGCATTCATAATTATATTCAATATGATTATATTAATGATCTTAAACGCTCAATCTTTGATGACATAATCAAAGCCAAGAAAGTTTTAGAAATGACATTACCTAATTCATGGGATGAAATAATGAATGCTAACAAATTATTTGAAAAAGGAACATGTTATTATGGTGAAGGAAACTATGAAAAAGCTTTTGAATGTTTTCAAAAATCTACCGAATTGGGTCATGCAGTCGGAGCATTCAATGTTGGTGTTTATTACAAAAAGGGTATCGGAATTAAGAAGAATGAACACAAAGCGTTCGAATGTTTTATGAAATCCGCTAAAAATGGCTTTGTAATAGGAATGTATATTGTTGGTTCTTGTTATGAAAAAGGCAACGGAGTGGAGAAGGATGAAAAGAAAGCTTTCGAATGGTACATGGAGGCCGCAAATATGGGTCACGCTATAGGAATGAATGAAGTTGGCTGGTGTTATCAATACGGAATCGGAGTAGAAAAGGATGAACATATGGCTTTCAAATATTATTCCCAATCTGCAGATATGGGCGATGGTCAAGGAATATACAATCTTGGATACTGTTACGAGAAAGGAATTGGAACAGAAAAAGACGCAAATAAGGCATTCAAATATTATGAAAAATCGGCTATCATGGGTAACTCTGGTGCGATGAACGGTCTCGGGTTTTGTTTTAATGCTGGAATTGGAGTTGAGAAGGATTTAAAAAAGGCATTTGAATGGTACCTGAAATCTACAAAAATGGGAAGTGCTAAAGGAATGAACAATCTCAGTGTTTGTTATCGTGACGGAATCGGGGTTGAGAAGGATGAACATATGACACATATTTTACTTTACAACTCTGCAGTAAAAGGTGATGCTACTGGATTATTTGGACTCGGTAATTGTTATTTTGAAGGAATTGGAGTTGAGAAAGATTACTATAAAGCATTCGATTATTATAAAAAATCCGCAGACATGGGCAATGTTCGTGGAATATGCAATGTTGGCGTTTGTTATCAAGATGGACTTGGAGTCGACAAGGATGAGCATAAGGCATTCTTCCATTATCGTGAATCTGCTAAGAATGGAGACGTGCTCGGATCTTACTTACTCGCTAAATGTTTTCGAAATGGAATTGGAATCGAAAGAGATTTACAAAAAGCCAATTATTGGTATAAAAGGTAAACATCATATTTTAAGATAATTATTAATCTTTACTTATATAAATTAAATACATCGTTCTCTTAACGTTAATTAGGGGAAAAATTCTAATATCAGGTAATTTTATATTTAAATTTAATATATTAAGATATGGACATAATCACTAATTCTGATTAGTCCAGTTTGAAATTTTAATGGATATTTAGTAATTGCCAATCTATTTATTAGAAAATTGTGAATGGGAAAGTTTTGATATTGATGAATATTTAAATTATTATGGATTCCTTTTGATGAATTTAAAAACATTGAAAAAATCGGAAAAGGTGGATTCGCAAATGTATATTGTGGCTTTTGGAATAGTAAAAAACATTTATCAATGGGGTTTTATGCACTTAAAGAAATTCAAAATTCATGCATTCGATTTCAACAATTTATAGATGAGGTAGATTATTTTGATGTTTATTACGTTTGCTTTTACATTTTAATTAACTTGTTATATTTTATTAAAGTTGAAAGCGTTTTGCGAAATTGGATATGAAAATCCTTCGTTCTTAAGATGCTTTGGAATATCAAGACATGAAATCTCCAAAGATTATATCATTGTTTTAGAATTTGCCCGAATGGGTTCTCTAAATAAAAATCTTAACTATATATCACGAATGGAGTGGAAAGATAAATTAAATTTATTACATTGTATATCTTCAGATCTTGAGATAATTCATTCTCAAAATATTATTCATCGAGATTTACATAGCAGAAATATTTTACAGAATAATTTACATAGTGCTTATATCGCAGACTTAGGACTTTCAATGTCTAATTTAAAAGCAAAATCTGATGAAGTTTATGGAATTTTACCATATATTGCACCAGAAGTTTTAGAAAATCGTAACGGTAAATATACACAGGCCATTGATATTTATGGGTTCGGAGTCATCATGACAGAAATATCAACTGGAAAAAGTGCGTTTGACGGAATTCAGTTCGATAATAGCCTTGCAGAAAGAATATGCTGTGGACTGCGACCAGAAATCGCGCACGGAACCCCTAATCTTTATACTGAATTGGCAATACAATGTATGAATCCAGAACCACAAAAACGTCCTAATGCTCGAGAAATTAATAAAAAACTTAATGAATGGCGAATAATTATGTTAGGATCATCAGTTGACGTGAGTGAAGATGACATGAATGAAATCAAAAAGCAATTCTTAGTTTCGGATAAAGCATCACAAATTATATCACCAAAACTTCCAGATAACAATAAATCTAATGAAATTAGTTTGGATGTAAACACTGATACATTATTTGATTTAAATCTTATATAGAACAGTCACATATAGAATTATTTACTGAATTATTTCTTTTATCATATCTAAATGAATTAATAAACCTTTATAAGAATTAGCATATCTAATTCCTACTTTTGTAGTGATTCCATCAATTAAAGAATTCGATCCAAAATCTGTTTGAATAATATATTAATTCCGCGCATTACCAAATGTTAATCCTTAATGCATTTATCAAATAAAATCAGAATAATAAAGACGTATTTTAAATGGTTTCTTTTTTGTGTATTATCAAGTCGATTCTGGACGAAAGTTCATTTGTTGACAATATAACAAAATTACGAGTCATTTAGTATAATAAACGGGAACGAAGATCAGCATAGAACTGATTTTAGAGAAGATAAATTTCAGATTTTGTACTGAAATTTGTTTAGAATATTCATCAGATTTTATATTTTCTGCATATATGTTTGTGGTCTTTATGCAGAATTGATAATAACGTATCACGCAAATATGATTTGATTGGTTAATGGCCATATTTGATCATACGTGATAAAATCGAATTTGTGATAATATTGAATGGAATCAAACCCGCTCATATGTACTCAAGAATAGGAAATTATACATTTTTGAATGTTAACAAGTTTTGCGCCTGCCCATGCGTTGGGAGTTTTTAGCAGCTCTAGTGTCGCTACCCTAAAACATTTCAGCAGCCAACCAAATTTTTAGATCAGGTGTATTAAAATTTCAATGTGCTAAAAAAGATTGCTCCGCATTAATGAAGTTCTTTCTAACTTAATCTTAATTTAACAGCAAAATTTTTTAGTGAAATCTTGGGTTGGTGACGCTAGAGTTCTAGTAAAGTTTAAATTGGCTGACTTGAATTAATGCTAATAGGGGTTGCAAAATTAATAAATAAGTGGCGCATTTCGAAAATAAGTAGGAATTTTTTAATAGTATTTTTACTATGTTGAATTATAAATCTGAAAAATAAAATAAGATTCTCTGATTTTAATTAATAAATTTTAAATTCTGAATAGAAATTTCAAACAATAAAAAGAGTGCAATAGGAAATGCAAATAAGGTTTATCTATTTTGATTATTCCATTTCTATTCTCTAGTTCAAAAATAATTTATTAGAAATTAAATGTATTATGAATATGTACAAATAAATTCTAGCACTATGCCAGCAGTCCTATAGGTAGTCTGTGACGATCCTGGAACTTGGACTGACTAATGTATCACATATCCCAGGTGAGATTAGATGGGTTGGCATAGGAAACTCGGATCAGAGGGTTTAATTGGATAATCTAAATGGGTTATCCTTTAAACCGTCCAGTAGGCAAATTTGCTCGCTAAAATGTTTTTTTTTTCGACTTTGTAAAATTGCGCCTGATTTTCTTAAGCAACACCCCTATTCTAGGCAAGAATAAAAGATTATCGTGTTGCACATTGACCCATGATTTCATATCAGATGATTAGAAGTACGATAAACGCCCAAATCACGTGCAAGTAGTACAATAGTAAACTTTAAAAAAAGTGATAATCATTGTCAAACTTTAGAATACAGTAATTTTTTTTTTACGACTATGCCTAACGCTAGTACAAGTTTGGCACCTTCCCTTAAAAATACAAAAATAAATAGTGATGATGAGGAAAAATATATGCCACTTCTGATGTCCTGTTGCAATTTTGTGAACAACCTAGAATCAGACGATGAGGACAAAGAAGAAGAAGAGAATACTAAAGGTGTTCGTAAGAGAGATTGCAAACAAAAAAAATTGCTGCCACCACCTACAAACTTTGAGCCACTAGCTCATCAAAAACAACAGCACTAGGGGTTTGTTAATTTGCCTCCACACTATGAAGTCAGTTTTAAGAAACCAGTCAATCTTTTTTTTATTTTTTTATGAACAATTTGTTAGATTAAATAGTTGTTAATATGAACTCGTATGCACTAATTAAAGGAGCTGGTATTCTTACTGGCAGGCAGTAGACAAATATAGACCATAAGGTGCTCATTGTTTGGATAGCAATTGTTATTTATCAGGGTGTTTTTAAGCTGCCCTCCCTTAATCAATATTGGAGCGAAGATCTGAAGCTCCCCCTCCACCATATTTTGAAACAAATGTCATTAAAGGTAGGGTGAATGTAGATCATTTTCTATATAAGGATATCGACTAAAAAAATTTTACCCAAAAATTGAACAT